AGTAATTATTAGAAAGAGTTATTTGTATATAAAATTTTTTATTACTAATAATAAAATTTTTTTTTTTTTTCAATACAGTTAAACAACTCTTTCTGATGATTACTTGTACCAACTATTCACCAAATACAATTTGAAGACTCAAGACTAAAAATTAGCACCAACCTTAGGTTTTCTTGATATGAACTGTTGTCAATGAAGTCTTTTAATGTGATACACCAAGGAGCGAGTGTTTTGGATAGTTCGCACAAGTGTCAAGCCTTGGTTCTTTTTTTCTTGTCTTGGGTAGACTCCTTTGTGTATTTGGCATCCAAACTAAAGGAGTCTCTGGAAATAGCAAGTAAAAAATAAAACTAAGTTTGTTTGATGATAGAAGGTGGCGAAGAACAATTAGAAAAATATTCTTTAGTTGGATACTCACAATATCTATATTTTTTTTTTTTTGATACTTTGGCCAGAATTTTCAACAAAAAGTAGGAAATTCAGCAAACCCCTACCAAAGATCGACAATATTTACCACTTTCATATCAAGAAACTATACGATGACAAAACAACACATGTAAAACGAACAGTACTGGTGAATGAAATAACTAGATCGGGTACCTGAAAGGGTACCTCACGTGGTGTGATGTTTTTAGGATATACAAACACGTGTGATATAGACGTGAAGCTTCAAAGTTCTTATATACTTTTAGATGACCATATAGATTTATTACGAAAAGAAGAAGCAAAGTAAAATAAGATATATAGACATTTCTATAGTCATATGTATATAATTTTTATCCTCTAGCATGAGTTATAGTGCATGTTAGTTTTTTTTTTTTCGATATGTCAAGTTTCTCACAACAAGTTAATATGAGTAGTTCATTACTCTGTATAGATAAAGTTTATACCTAGTTAGCAGATTTTCTTTATTCTAGTGATAGTTTCTTATAGATTTTTAGATTAGTTTTTAGATTCCTTTTATATTAGTACCTATTTTTGTATATGTATTTGTTTTTGTTTAAATTTTTTTTTTTTCTTTCTCTATAAGAAAATGTTATTAGATTAGCAGTATTCTATTGTAGGGTGGAAATCTTGACAAGGCTTGCAAATTGCTAGTCAAGGATTTTGGAAGAAAAAAGTCTGAAGTAAGTTTTGGACCTCTGGAGAAGGCCAAGGGTTTGCTCAGGCAGGTCGACTTGGGTATAAAGTATAAGCAGTTTAATAGTTTAAGTAAAAGCTTCAGCAACTGCATGGCTAGCTTGGGTAGTTTAGCCGAAAGTTTGAGAATAATAGATTCTGTAATTAGTATATGCCTCATACTATTAAGATTTCTTCTCACAAATAAAGCAAACAGGATTGTCTTAGAAACAAAAAAAATAATAAAATTTTTATAATATAGTCAAACCTTTATAAATACAATATATACAGACTAGTCTAAAATATATATTTAGAAAGATTTATATTTAGAAAAAGCTAATCAAATTGTAGCTTTTAATATTTGATCTGCAGGCTTGTATAACAAATTTAAATACTAGCTTTTGATTAGCTACATGTATTTAGAAAGATTAGTATTAGTGATGGTACCCAATCAAAAAAATGCTATCTGGTTATCTTACAGGTATACCCAGCAGATTATTTAGGTGATCAACAGATATATCCAGTATAAAATCCTACCCAATATATCTAGATAAGGTTAATTAAATACTTTTACTTTACTAAATAGCTGCATAACGTTATTGTACAAAACTAGAAACAGAAAACTTAAAACAAGAAAATAGCTAAATAAAATATAAAAATTTGTATCTAACTGATTACTTTATCCTTTAACTAATTACTTTTAAATCAATCAATATGTTTATTTATACTAATTTTTGTCGATATGTGATATATCTGTCAAGTAATTATCTAAAAAAAAAATTAATATTTAATCAAAATATAAAGACCTATAAAAATTACTCGAGTTGAAACCTGACTTGTTGAATTTACAAATCTGTCTCAATATTATTAATATTATAAATATAGCTAAATAACACTTTTATATTGTTAATCAAAATTTTCAAGTTATTAATACTAAAATTACAACATTTACATTAAAATCTGTTGACGTAATTTTGGTATAGTTGTATTTTATATAAAAATTGTACTAGGTTATCAATAGATCTTTTTTTTGAACATTATAAGTTACACCACTTTAACACTGTTCTAACAAATCAATAATAAAATAAATTAAGAAATTTGAATTTGTTTCTGATAATGTAGATCATTTTTGATTGTTTGATCAACAATGAGTTCTATATGATTATCTTGTATTAGACCTAAAGATTTACAATTAGGTCTATAATAAATATATAAACCCGGGCTGTTGTTTCTAGTTTTATATTGATAACAACCTCAGACATAAAGATAAATTATTCTATTAGTATTGATAAATTAAAAATTTTATATTATTTCAGAAAAAAATACAGGTTTTGTAAGTCTATTCACTAAAACATACTAATTTCAGAATTTAAACTGGATAATAAATTAGTATATATTTATTATAGCTGTAAATTATTCTTGTACTTGGTAAATTACTGATAGATTTAAACTCAATATAGTTTTATAATGCCTTATTGTCTTTATCAAAGCACTAATTTATTTTGGTTAATCACTTAATTTAGTATAAACCTTTTTAGATCTAAAATTCTATACATAGCTTTCAAGAAAAATATTATATTTTACAAATAACTTTTTGTACAGTATGTTGAGATATTAAGTTTATTATTAGTTTTATTTTTATTTAGTTAGCTTAGACAATCTTTATAAATATTCAAACTTTTGCTGCCCGAAGATTATCTGGGTACGTCTACTTGGGTATTATCTGGGTATATTTATTCAGGTAGCTGAGTTTACAACCTGGATATCCAATTATCCGCAGATAATCCAGGTAATATTCAACTCGAATATTATCACTAATTAGTATGATATAAAAAATCTTTTGAATGAATATATATTTGCAAAATATAGAATATATATTTAGTATTAATGATTTTATACAGCCAAGACAAAAATATATATTTAGAGAGATATTGCATTTATGAAAGTTGCATTTAGAGAGGTTTAACTATACTATTACTATATATAGTATTTATATTTTATAATATTAGTTTTTTTAAAAATTTTTATTCTAATTTTATATTTATACTTAAACTTTTTATATAAAAATTGCTTTATTTTTTTAGATTTCATATTTTTTTGTCTATACAATTTATCACTACTCATAAGATTATATATAATATAAAATTAAATAATATATTAATTTAAAATTAGTATTAGTATTATATTAGATTTGAATATAGGCTTTAGAATAATAAGTTCTTAACCTAAAATTTTGCAAAGAATTTTTTTAATTAGAATACAAGAGGTGGTTTTATAGACAAAATCTTGAGTTACAGATGATTTTTAACAAAATGTCTATTTGTTTTAAACTTTCTTGATCATGTTATATTATATTATATTTTGTATTTAAATTGATTAATCAAAAGTAATAATAAATTGCTATAGTGATAAATTACAATATTTTATTTTTTTTTATAATTTGGTAATTTTGTTTTTGTTTATTTAAGATTTAAACTATTTAAAATTATAATTTTATTTATAGCTATTACTAATTTAACTAAACAAAAAACTTACTTGGCTTATATTTAGAAACAATCTGACTCAATAGCTATTAGCTTTTCTTTAGATTCTTAACTTATTAAAAACTTTTTTTTGTTTATTAACTAGTAGCTATTTATCTATTAAAAAGCAAAATATAGTCAAACCTCTATAAATGCAACGTGTACAGACTAGCCTAAAATGTATATTTAGAAAGGTTTGTATTTAGAAAGAGCCAATCAAATTGTAGCTTTTAATATTTGATCTGCAGACTTGTGTAACAAACTTAAATACTGACTTCTGATTGGCTATGTGCATTTAGGAAGGTTAGTATGATATAAAAAATTTTTTGAGTAAACATGCATTTGCAGAATATAGAATGTGCATTTAGCACTAATGATTTCATACAGCCAAGACAAAAATGTGCATTTAGGAAGGTATTGCATTTATGGAGGTTGTATTTAGGGAGATCCGACTGTAAAAATAAAAATTAATATTAAAAAAATATAAATATATAAAGAAAGGAAATTCTATTTTGACCCAGGTTAAATTGACTCATCATGTAACTATATGGCTAGTATAGCTTATTTTATGCACAGAATCATCTATCAAAATTAATCACATGACTGCTATTTTTATAATATTTGTTATGTAACTGCTATTTTGGCATAAGCTAATCTTAATCACACTATCAGTTATATATAAATTTTGTTCAAAGTTGAATATAATTCAGATTAAAGTTAATCTGAATTTATTTAACTTAACTTCAATTTGAACTAAATTCTTGTATTATCATGTATAAGAAAAATTATAACAACATATATATCTCTGTTATCAGCACAAGTGATCAATATTAAAAATTAGTTTTTTTGTAACTTTTAACAAAGATATCTTGACAACTATTTAAACAAATTCAATAAATCTATTTTTAGTTTAATTTTACAAACTTGTAAAATTAAAATAGCAGAAAGTTTATTGAATTTGTTTAGATAGCTACTAAGATATCTTCATTCAAAGTTTGAGAAAAGATTAAAATATCTATTAAATAAAAAATTTTTTAAAACTTTGAAGATATTTTGGCAACCATCAAAGCAGATTCAATAAACTTTTTTTTTATTTTAGTTCTATAAATCTGTAAAACTAAAATAAAAAAATTCATCAAATTGGCTTAAATATCAAATTTAATGCTACTTTTTCATTAAAAATTTTGAATATATGATTATATAAAACATAAAGTATAAAAACTTTAGTTGGAGTTTAAATATCTGCAAATATAATAATATACAAAATAAATTTTACTTTTTGTTACTTAAATCTATTACCAAGAATAACATATAATTTTTTTTTTGTATTATAAAACTTGTTGATTGCTGCAATATAAAATGAATCTTAAACAATTATCTAAAAACAATGACTATGATAATAAAATTAAAACTAGCTTTAAAATTAATATTAGTAATAATCAAAATAATGATGCCTTTGACTTTTTTAATAGTAATTATAATATAATTTTACTTGAACAAATACTTTTAACTAGTAATAATATAGCTATAATAAATAATAATTCTTTTAACTTTCTTAATGGTAGTTGTAATATAATTTTATCTAAACAAAAAGCATCTTCAATCAATAATAATATAGTTATAATAGATGATGAGTCTTTTGATCTGTTTAATAATAGTTATAATATAACTTTATCTGAACAAGCATCTTCGACTAATAACAATCTTGTTATGATCAAAGTTTTGATAATTATTATAATGTTTAACAATATATTACTACTTATACAATAAATCAAAGCTTTTCTACAAGACTTTATTATACAGAAAGATATATAGACTTTATTTTTAGAGCAGAAATTGTTTGTTGCTATACTGGTGTAGTACTTAAAATAAATACTAGATTGTAAAAGACTAAAAGTATTGCTATTAATTATAAATTTAAGATAATAATTAGATAGACAAAAAATAAATATTGTATAAAGGAAGCTAAGCTTGAACACAATCACTCTTTGGATTTTGTTGCTATTATATTTGATCTTGGTTACTATAAATTAAGCAGCAATGAAAGTATATATATACAAATGCTCTATAATAGTAATATACCAGTATCAACAATTATAAATATGTTAACTAAACAGTATAATAAGTATATTTATAATAAGAATATTTATAATTTCTTAAATCACCAATTTCATGACTATGTGAAAGGGTTGTTCCAAACTGCTAAACTATTAAATAACCTGAACAATAATAGTAAATATCATGTTATATATTTAGTTAATAATAGAAAACTTTATTGTTTATTTTTTACTATCCGTTCAGTACATTCAATGTTTAAGTGTTATCCAGAGATTCTGTTAATAGATTCTATATACAAAACAAATTGATTTAGAATATCATTTTTATTTATCAATGGTGTTGATACAATAGGTATTACATTTCTTATAGCAAGCTATCTTCTTGTTAATGAAACAGTATTAAATTTTTGCTAGTTGTTTTGTCAATTAAAAAAATGGTTGAAGATAAAACTTTTTATAATATATAAACAGTTATAACTAATACTAATCATGTACTTATTTTTGTAGTATGAACTGAATTGTTATACATTAAACATCAAATTTGTATTTGGCATATTGAGCAGAATATAATTAAGAATTTAGGTGGCAAGCTTAAAGATAAGTTTATAGCATTTAATAAAGATTTCAAAGCAGTAATGTTTAAAACTATAGAGAAGCAATTTACTATTCGATAGAATCATTTATTGTCAGAATATCCTGAGGCAGGTAATTATATGATAAAGCAATAGAAACTTTATGATAATATGTGGATATATTGTTATACCAATAATGATCTCAACTATAGAATAAAAACAACACAATGATCTGAAGCCACTAACATGTATTTAAAAAGATTATTCAGTTATACAGTACCTCTATCTTAATTAATTAATGTATTAAAAAAATTAACTTAACACCAACTTCAATATTCTCAATATCAACAGTATTGTTTACATAGTAGTACTTGTTAACAGTATCCTGAATTACTAAAAGAAGTTTCAGTACTCATATTAAATTTTGTGTATATATTATTATTAGAGCAACACAGTATAGCTAATACTTCTGATATTAAGAAACATAATGATAGTTTAATCCAGATTTATTATAATAACAATAATAAATATATAATATATAAAACAAATGCTATATATATTTGTTCTTGTAACTATAAGATTTAATTCTTTTTGCTATATCATCATATTCTTGCTGTTTACTTTGTTGATAAAAAAACTTTAAGTGTTGATTATATAGATACTCATTAGATTATTGTATTAGCAAGATTTATAGTATATAAAGAACAAAATAATTTTGTTAACGATTTTAGCAAATCTACTAAATATACTAGCAAATTTACTACTGAATCTATTACTAAATCTACTATTGAATCTATTATTGAATCTACTACTGAATTTACTATTGAATCTATTGCTAAATTCAATAACATGATTTACAATATATTTCTAATCAACAAAAGTCTACAAGAAGCACTGTAAATTTACTTAAAGATATTAAAACTATATCTAATTAAGTAGATTATATTGAAATAAATAATACTTTTACTTTTTTTGTAAAATAATTAAATTGAAAATATCTATTATCACAAGAAGAAATTAGTGATCCTATTATCACAAAAACAAAAGGAAGACCAAGTAGTACTAAATGCAAAAAAACAGACACTAAACATATTACTAAAAAATTATATATTTGTAGTATTTGCAGTAGAGTTGGACACAACTCTCGAAGCTGTCCAAGAAAGGTATATAATTTTATTATATTTAAATATATTGATATAGATTATTTTACATATTAACGCTTAATTTATCATATTTAGTAATAAAGATGAGTTCTTGAAATACATATATTCATATTTGTCAATATATAGTAACTATCTTTATTAATAACATGTTTGTATTTAAATAGCTTTTAAAAAAGAAATACTAAGATTATATATTATAAATTTTTGTATTTCAGCAATATTATACAAAAATTATATTTAATTAACACTATTTGTTAGTAAATTTATAAGGTTTATATATTGCTATTGTTAGCATTAGTACTTTAATAAATTTTTGTTTGAACTTAGTTAAAACTACATATACTTCAAATATATAATTTAAAAAACTTATATATATATTTAAATATTGTAAATTAGTTTATATTTTATTTAATATATGATCAATACTAAGAAGTTAAATCTTGTTTATAAAATATTATCAAATTTTACAAAAGTACAAAAATTTTTTTTTTCAGTATTAAGGTGAGGTCTTGCCTTATATTTTTATTTAGATATTTATCAAGTATTTGTTTTATATAGCTACATATCTATCTTAAGAATACAGATTTAGACAATTTTATCTACAATCTAAACCTATCAGAGTATACTACGTTCTCACCACATATTGGGTTATATCTGGATTTGGTATTCAGAATATATTTAGTTATCTACCATATTCGCCCCATGTCTCATCATCAAATTTTGGTAACTTCTAAATTAGTTTATTTGAGTAATCAGTTCTTAATAGCTTTTCAATTTGGTATGCCTATTATTCAAAGTATTTTCTAAACTAGTATACTCCTTCTAATAGATGGCTTTTTATCCATGTTTCTCAAGCCAGATACCTGCTGCTGCTGCTAGTCCTATATGAGAATAGGGTAAATGATACAGAGGTCATTAACATGCCAGAGTAGCATACCTATAGTGGCATGCTATAGGTATACCTAATGCTCAGATTGTCTATAAACATGCTATTTATATATATTCCAAAAAGATCTGAATAAAAAATAAAATAATATAAAAAATTGCAGCAATGCTCCAAAGTATTCTGAAAGGGTATTTATAGTAGATGATAACTGACCAATCCTAATTGAGTATATTATCATGTAGTTTAATAGCATGCCAGGGTAGCATCCTGGCATGAACTTTAGTGGTTGACATGTCATATAGCATGCAATATTTTTTAGCCGTGCTATTTACCCTACATAAGAAGCATTGGTATCACATATTGGAAAAGAAACTTATTGTTAAGTTTGTATCAACTAGTACTGGCTTGCATTCTTTTATACAACTTATATTACATGAATACCCCAAGTCTTCTACTTGTTTCTTCAAATATACTAGCCTTGTATCTCAAGCCAGGTCTCTGCTACTACTGTCTAGTTTGCCATCCTCAGGTCTTAACATTTTTTAAATTATCTGATACAGTATATTTTTTACTACTCTCTAAATACTTTCTTATATAGTATTCATTAGAACTATGGTTTGTAAAGACCTTCTGAGTTGCACAGCAACTACAGCACTACATATTTCTAGCCATTAGCTATTTTTGTAACTCTGCTTTAATGGTCTATCTTGTTAATGACCAGCCTAACACTATGAAATTACTTAAGTGGCAAGCTAAGTTACTTCTAGCTATTTCTAGTTGATGTCACATTAATGTTAGTAAATCTTAACTCTTTTTGTTATAGACTTCTATATAGATGTGACTAGAGCTTCAAATTGGTACCTTTAGATGTACAGTGATAGGTTATATTCTCTATATCAAGTAGCCTTCTATAGTCATTTTACCAATGCCAGAGGTGCTTTCAATTTCAGTTAAGACATAATCTTTTACTATAGCCTATAGTTGTGTATTACTGCTTCTCTTACTACTTCAGTTTTGGTAGTATAGTATTACTCTTTCAAGCAAGTATCTAACACTATTCTATATTAAAACTTATACGTACAATTAATTGATCATCCTTTCAAGCAAGTACCTTACAAGTTGGATATAAAGATATTGGTATTGCCAGATATAGAGGTGATAAGATGTTGGTATTGCCAGATATAGAGATAATAGGATGTTAGTGTTACCTCTGAGTTACTTCAACTAGAGGACTTATACACATAATCTTCTACAATCTAGACCTTCTGTGATACTGCTATCATATATAGTGCCTTTACTCTACAATCTAGTCTCTTTCTAAAAACTTTTTATTCTAGTTTCGTACTATACTTAGATTTTTCCGCAGGGTTTTGTATCCGATTATGGCCCCATAGGTTACAGAAAAAAAATTTATTAAAATTTGCCTCTAGCCCAACTCAAACCATTGATCTAGTCAGTGAGTTTGAAAGCTTAACCAATAAGCTATGGGACCCAAACTACATGAAATTTTTTGAACATTAATTGTTGATTAATAAAGTTTTAATTACTAATATATTTTTTTGATATATTGATTAAAGTGTTTAGGGTTAATTATAAAAATATATCTTAAACTTATACAAAAATATAATAATTATCAGGAATAGAATAAAATAAAGTGTATAGTTTAGTGAATTGTAAAATAACATATAGATGCAAAATCTCATATATTATTGGTTAATATAATTATAGTCATTATATTGTTGCAAGTTTTTATATATAAGTATCATAGTAAATTTGAAATTGTACCAATTATTTAAACAGATATTGAAAACAGGTTGTATCAACAATGAAATCTTACAAAGAATTTTAAACCCGATTAGTCTTATTACACTGCTACAATTTTTTTTTATAATAATTAGTTTTAACGATTATTTAACATTAATTATTTTTTTATAAATATATCCAATATAACGTAGTTATACTAAAACTAGAAACAGACCAACTTTAATAGTAATACTTAATAAAAAATACAATTTTATGATATTTTATAGTAATATAATAAATTATAATATGAATTGATTATTATAAATAAACAACTAGTAAAAAGCTATTAATCATAATAAATATATAAAGAGCCAAAGAAAAAATACTTTAAGCA